GGAAGATGGAATATATTCTAAGAGACAAGACTAAATATCATAAGCTACAGAAGGACCCAACTATGAAGATCAATGGAATCTTAAGTGACATGATGAAAGATAGGCATAGGAACGGGCAAATTGACGCATGAACAAAAATGCAATCACAAGAAAGGATGCACGTCCTCCAACCGCCTACGGTTTACCGAAGATACAGTAAGAAAGCGAGCCACTTAGGCTGATATTCAACAATAAGCGTAAAGCAACACACAAATAAGCAATGTTCATATGTAAGATGTATTCACCCTATTTCGTTTAATGTGATAAAAGACTTGTAGTAGAATTTTCCGACAATGACGTCTCTATCGAATTTCACATAGCTTTGCTTTCTCAAATGATGTTCTCATCCAGGGTGGATTGAAGTTTCGACTTTGCCCGAGTCTTATCAACGAAATAGAGTGAATACATCTCATATTTACTTACAGCCTCATTTTGCAGCAACACTTTATCATCCTGTATGAAATGGCTTGAAGTTGTTCCCTTACAGCTAATATGATTTGCTGCAAAAGCATTTCAACCTCTTAGATTCCTCTCTCTAAAGCACACACAGAACGAAAAATTGGTCCGTTTAATCATAATATAGCAACAAAACTTGGATTTATTCAATGAAATATATCATATATTCACTCATCTCGATAGTTTCTTTATAGCATCGAATAACATAAAAATCTAAATATTGTTTTATGCCTTTATACTAAGTAGTATAGAACAAACAAATTGCTCGTAATTTGTGATTGGTAAAATGTCCCTCGAATACCTACTTACTCACGAAAAAAATGATACTTTTCTACCCATTATCCGATACTCAATAGGCCAAGAATGTCGGCACTTAACAAGTATTTATAAACTTGTACAGGACGCGCTAACCTTTAACACGCTGTCAACATAATTTTCATAGATTTACATATCCAAGCCTCAGCCAATGCTCGATTCGAAAGTCGAAAACTCATGCTGAACTCTTCACTTGGCTTGACAAGTTGACTAAGAGGGCTAGGTAAGTTTGCCTAATCTAGAACCATTGTATCTTGATATGTACGTTTAATTCCTCGGCGTACTATCTTACAAGTTGGTGCAACACTTTAGTATATATCTTTTTTTATTATTATTACTATTTTGTTGTCATATTTACCAATGCCCCGAAGTCAAAAGCTCCATATTTTCATTAATTTGTATGATTGTGTAAGAAAGTAAAAGGAGCTCAGACATTATTTGTTTCCTTTAAATATCTACAGACACTCTGGATCTAAAAGAGGACAATTAATTCTACTTTCTACTAACATATTACATTTAGTCTTTACACCAATTCTTTTCATTAATCTAATGAATTTAACACTCTTTGCCGTGTTCCTTAACTGCACATAATTGTTCCTATACATAGCTAATAAATGCAGTATTATGAGGGCTTCTAAAAGCAGACGACCTTCTTATTGAGTCATGTTGATATTTGCTAAAGTTAGAGCCAAATACGATTTTCTAGCTAAAGCTCGTGTTTACTCATGTAACTTACGATTCTGGGTAAAAGATGTACTGCACTGGTTTGACCTCATTTTCGTAACTTGGTCGTAGCGACGGTGAGACCTTGTAGAACCTAGTCATACATCCTCTGTTTTAGCATTCATGTTTGTTTCCAGTATCGGACCATTGACTTGGTGCATTCCAGACATTTCGCCGGCATCGTAGTCAGTATCGTCAGTGCCAGACGCCATTCTTTGCACTGAGTTACAACTTATCAAAGTGACAAGTGAAGGCTATCCCCCTGATCAATTTTCTGTCCAACCTTTGTGCCATCTTGAAGTATTAGCTTCTAGCGTTATATGTACATCTTCCAACTCCCTTTCCTATGCCCCATTTACTCATTTACAGTATTATGTGTATTATTTTGCTCAATTGTCGCCTTAGAGTTTGTAACTTCAAGTAAATTAAGTTAAGCGTTATCACCTTCGCAACCAGTTTGAGATGCCGTTCGCCGGGCTTTTAAGACCCAATCTGTCCTACAGTTTAGACCACCATCCCACAAACCCTGCATGCCAACTGTTCCCTACTAGGCATGAAAAGCTCTATATCACTGGCTGCCTATAAGCCCTCGATCTCGCTAAGATGCTGTAGCCTCTGTTTTGGTCAAAACACTTCAAGAATAGTCCAATATAACAAGGCTGTTGTTAACCTTTTGTCATCTCTCTTGATTTCTGTAACTTTATGAGAAAATATCATTCTGTCAAGGTTAATAAATAATATATTATATCTACTTATATCATTGTTGGAAAATTCAACTACCATCTAATCACACTAAATGAAATAGAATCAAAACAGCTTATATATATGATCTACTGGTAGCCTTGAAAGCCTAGTTATAAACAAAAAATAAGTAAGGTACTGGCATACGTCTCACTTCGTTTGAGAAGGCGGGTCGAGGAGATTCGTAGATTGGCCGCATCGGATACCGAAAAGGAGTTGCCTTGGACTGTTGTCTGTTGATTTGTGCGAAAAAGACCTCGGCTCACCATTTTTCGACCTTGATGACTCTGTGCTGAGCTATCGTCTCTCATGCGATGAACATCGTCAGTACATGGAGAAAATGGAAAGTATCATAGGCGACCGGAACACCTATCAAATAGTAAGAAAGGAGTCAACAATGAAGATCAACGAGACACTGAAGAATATGCTAAAGAAAATGCATAATAATGGGAAAATTGACGGATGCATGATGAAATCTTTAATTAAAAATGATGCAAGGCTACCAATAGCCTACGGAATACACATGATACACAAAGGAAATCCGCTAAT